GAAATTAGCATCTCACAGGTAAAATCACTGGACAGTATTTTCTGAGTACACTATGCCAGACGCAGTTCTTCCCACTAGGGCTATACCAATGAATAAAACAGACGGAAATGTCTTCCTTTGTGGAGTCTGACTACATCCCAGGAGCAGACTGTTTGACAGTACTAAGTGCTATGGAGGAAAGTATTGCTAGGAAGAGACACAGAACACGTACACACAAAGGATGTTATTGAAATCACAGGGCAACAGGTCTAACTGTGATCTAACTCATCAATGACTGACAGGGGAAGGGATAAACAGTGTGACATCATGGAAACATTCCAGACGGGGAAGAGCAAGTGAAGAAGAGCACTGGACAAGAGTGGCTGTCCAAGGGGGCTAATGTATCAAAACCTGAGAATTGTAATAGACAGCCCTTACCCAGTAGCCCCAGCAGACCACAGACAGCTTCTCACAACTCTGCTCCAACTGGGTTCAGTACACAGCTGCTGTTGCTAACATACCCTTTTTTTAAAGGTATGTTTCCTTAAGTATCTCCTTTTAGTCTAGAAACCCAAATAGGGCCAGCCATACAGCTCTACTCAACAGTTAATTCTAAAGATGTCAATTCAGACCCAGTCCCTCACATGGCTCATGCTTGTACAAAACCCTCAGTGAACTTGTAAAACTAAGAAAGGTGAAGCCAGCCACTAGCTTGATTTGAAAAGGACAGACAGATATAAGGAAAGGACGAATTAAGTTTGCAGGGAAGCTACCAGAGATTAGAGAAAGGAGTGCAAGAAGTAACCGCTAGACGGGAGCACGTCCAGTGCTAAGGCAAAGGCCTGGCACAGGCCCTGAAACTCGGGCTGAGGAAACCGCAGAGAAATTTCCAGTGGTGGGAATACACAAGAAATACCTGAAGTAAAAGACTCTTAAGATGTTAACTAAGCTGAGATACCACCTTTGCTACTAATTCCAATTTTCTAACAACTCTTCTATAAACAGCTGCATTGGGGACCATGCTTAGGGTGTAGAGAAAGCAATACAGGTATGAGACAAGCTCAAAAGACAGTGAGTGGGATTTAAGACAGCACACGCCGAGATGGGAGTAAGAGGAATACACGCTGCCTGAAACTCTGCAGAAGCATCTGGGGAGGAAGATGTGCCCCACCACTTATAGACTAAGACTTGAAAGGTGTACTTGACACCCCCAGCTGGATTACACCCAGTGAAGCAGAGTACAACAGGCAAGGCACTGGAGTGACAAGTTAAAAGCAGGGTGGGGTCACTGAGATCATCAAGAGCAGCTCACTACTTGATGTCAGGGTGACCCTTCTCTAGCCCGGTAAGTATGTTAAAGAACTGGAGAACAAAGGAGACAGAGAAATTACAGATAAGACTGATCACATGGGTAAAGGTCCAAAGCCAGGAATGAGGGTAGCCTGCTCAGAGAGAGAACAGTGCAGAAACTGGCCTATTTGGAACACAGAGGACCAACTGGCAGGCCAAACCACAGTAAGATCAGCCAGGTAAGGTGACACTAGATGGAGAAAAGCTCTGAAATCTAGGATGAGAAATCTGAACTTTATTTCACGAGCAGTGATGGGAAGGGAAACTGCTTTCTTCTGTTTTGACGCTTTTTATTTCGCATAGTAAAATACTGAGGCAATGTAGACTGGTCCTGTTCCCTGCATTAGAACTAGCCTGATTTCCCACTCTTCAGGTCACGTTGCAAACTCTCGGGTACACTCACGACTTCTATGAAGATAAGACCTCTATTTGCTTCTCCAACACCTGCCAACTGTCCTTAAGAGTTCTTCCACAGCTCTGCACCACTTATTCCCTCTGTAACATTCACTGAGTGTCTATCCTGGGACATATCCAAATGAGGGATTTAAATATGACTCAAAGTCTCCCTAGTTCAGTGGTAAATCCCTTGCCTAGTGTGGACAAGGCCTAGGTATGATCCCTGGTACAACGAAAATAAAAGTTAAGTAAATTGGAAAAATAAGCATGACTCAGTCCAAAGGCTAAAGAAATTCAGAGTCTGATGTAAGCAGAAGCCAAGAAAACAGACCAGTACAAAACTAACTGGTGGGTGCTAGAGAAGAGGAATCTTACAGTGTCAGAAAAGCAAAGGACAGATTTGTCAGTGTGCAGTTAGGAAAGACAGAGAACACCTAGCAGAAATCTTTTTACTGAGCTAAGCTGTGAAGAAAAATAACTAACAGTGGGGAGACGTGGTTGAGATGGCACAAATCCAATCAGACCCCCAAAGGAAGCCTATCCCATCCAACAGACTCCAAGTCAATTGCACATGGCTGAACCAAGTACAAAACCAAAGCAAGGACCACATCACTGGCATGGGTCAGCTAGGACTGTAAAGTGGCTGCACACTCCACCCTAACATCTTACACTTTCAACATTTCATGTGCAACTCTCTTTTCCCTAATAAGAATGTAAGCTCCTTAAGATGGCTTACATTTTTTAAATGTTACACATATCTGTCTCCTACAGCATGGAGCACAGAAGTACAACATCCTAAACAAACAATTCCTTTTTAGTAATTAATTGACTTTTGCCCCATGAGTTAAAAAAAAAAATCAATTGTTTAAGGAAGAGTAAAGTAGGAAAAGTCAGCAAAACAGTAGTAGGAAATAATTAGGAAGAAATACAAAGGAACCTTCTGGGGAGATGAAGATGTTCTAATTTGTAGGATAGAAATATAATACAATGTCTCTATTTGTTTGAAAAAAAGTGTAACTAAGAATTGCACATTTCAATGACTATAAGTTTTACCTAAAAATCTATAAAAAGGATCAGGGCACAAATAGATACGGATGAAACAATATGGATAAAGTTGATGGGGGTTATTATATTCTACTTACTCTGTATATATATAAAATTTTCCATAACAAAAGTGTGTGTGTGTGTGTGTGTGTGTGTGTGTGTGTGTGTGTGTGTGTGAGATATTTAACAGGGTGATAAAAATTACATTAGCAAAATTTTAAAGCAACAGAATTTTTATCCACTCTAATATTTAGAATAATGTTGCAACATAATTCCTGGAGTGGTTTTACTTGCTCTGTTACCTACCCAGGTCCAAAATAATATATATTCTAAGACAGACCTACTATTCACAAGATGGACAAAATAAGGACTAGCAACCACTTATCCCTTAGTTAAGCACCAGACATTAAATTAGCTCTGTTACCAAATACAAACAGTAGAATAGAAGGTCAGAATTTTCTAACCTCCAAACTGTGAAACCAAAAGGTAGGGACTGAAAGATAAACATAAGATCATGGAAGTACACAATATAATATATATAGGATATATATATATATATATATATATATATATCACTAAAAATTATATATGAATGGTATATATATCATTCTTAGTGATTTTTGTAAGTTTATTTTATCTTAGGAATTTATGACTCATATTTATCTGTCCATAATCTGCATTTTCACCCCTCAAAATATTAACACCTAAAACAAAGATTTTGCTACTCACCCCAATATGAAAGATTAGCAACTCTATTTTGTTCATTAAATTACCTGTTGCATAATTCTATCTCCAGAAAGTTCACGAAGTTTCTCAAAAAGATTTTTGGAATGTTAGATGAACAGTTTCAATTACTTAGGAAGATAAATTATATTATACTATGTCACCACTATTGCTACTATTTCCCATTAAATTATGTTTAAAACGCCCTGTACTCAATAATCTACAGCATTATAAATCAGTGGAGCCGTTGGCTTGGACAAGGGGTTTCTAGGATGCTGATAATATACTGTTTCTTGACCTGGGCACTGGTAACACAGGTGTGTTCTACTTGCACAAGTCTAACAAGCCTGACATTGACGCTGGATGTTGTTTTCTGTATGTAATGTAATGTCCTAGCAAAGAGAACTGTTTTTAAATCGTCAGAGCTGTTAGCAATCAAGTTCCCTTCCTATTAAAATGCCTGTTCTATGCACTGAAACGCTCCTTAGCAAAAAAAAAAAGAAAAAAAGAAAAGTAGTTTAAAGCATTATTTTCTATCAGCATATCCCCAAATAATTGATAACTTCTAATTGCAAATGGGCGTTCAAAAAAGACACAATCTAAGAGGAAAGTATTTACCAGTTAATCCTTTTCTCCCACCTACCCCCAAATAAATATTTTTAAAAGGCGAATAGTGTATGACGGTGATGCAGATCATTATTTTGTAAAGCTGTTGTAGGAATAATAAAAAGTATCCTGCAGACAACAGGCAAGTCAACGCAGGCAGAAGGACAAAAAATACTTCATGGAAAGGGTACTAGGAACTCCGTGCTAGTATGTTGGACCACATTCCTGATAGTTCAGGGAAATCAAAAGCAGGAGACAACAGTACCTGCCCAGAGGGTTAATGAAATAAAATGCATGGAAGCATTACTCTAAGACTGAATATTAACTATCCAAAGACTAGCAAGAACGCTTAGGAAGTAACCTTTTCTCCTTCACTCGCTGAAATCAAATGTGCGACAAGAAATAGAACTGTGTCCCACTCCCAGAACCCAATTCTCTTCTTCTCCCCTCCTTTCCCCAAAGTTCAAAGCAAACTCGAACGTTCTCTGCAGGCGGGAAGCAGTGTGGTGTAATTAACAAGTGCTCTTCACCTAAAACACACTTTCACCTTTCACCTACAAAGCCGAGGGAGGAAACTTTGTCCTCCACACAGCACGGTGCCAATTCAGCTTTTCCAAATGAAATGTCAGGGCGTTCGCCGACCAGGTCGGGCCGGGGACGAGGGCACCCCTCGGGGAGAAAACCGTGCCAAGTGGACCTAGAACACCCCCCTTCGGGACGCCCTGGCGACTCCGCACCGCCACTGCTCCGGAGTCCAGCCCAAGCTGGTCCCGGGGACTCGGCCAAGTGCTGGGTCCAGCCCGGCGAGTTAAAATGCCCATCCCGAACGCACAACGTCAACGTCCGGCGAACAAATCCTTTCGAGCTCTCCGTAGCGATGAGATGGCAAAACCAGAACGCACCCAGAAAGTTGGCACCGAGGAGGGAGGTGGTGAGGGGGCGCGGGGGACACGGCGCGCCCTCTTCCCTCCCACAGTCCGGGGCGAGCGCGGTGACCACCACCAGGCCGCCGAGGGCCGCGGGGACTCGGAGGGGCGGGCGGAGGAGGGGCGGGCGGA